AAAACCATTCATCCGATTGTTACCAATGTCGAACTTGACTGAGATCTTGTCCATATGTACATGTATACCAAGTAACATCTAGATCAGATAAACAATGTAGCTTGTACAGGTCAAATTGGACGCATTGAATTTTAATTCAACGACAATAACTAAAATATCATTCTTTATCATTTTTGAAGTTCGAGATCCCATCAATATATACATGCATACCAAGTTTCATCAAGATCAGATAAAAAAAACTGCACCCTGTCTGATACTATAATGGTTACAAGCCAAATTTGAAGTGTTTTTCTAAGTCAAGGGTAATAACTCCAAAATCGATCATCCGATTCAATTCAAACTTAACTGAGATCTCATCTATAAATACATGCATACCAAGTTTAAAACTGTAGTATATTTTGCCTTTTTTTTTTATACCAAGTCAATTGAAATCGCTCATCCAATTATTACCAATTTTAAACTTGACCGAAATCTCATCTATGTATACATGCAGACTAAGTTTCTACAGTGGGGTTGGAAGATGGATTGAGGATTCTTTTGTTCATCGATGAGCCAGGAGTGCCACACAAATCTAGCCTTGAATGCACCAGTTATCACGGACATGCTTGTTGCAAAGCAGGAGTTTTGATGGTCGAGAGCGTTGAATAAAATCGGAAAAGCATCTTGTTCGTCATTAATCATACCATTGAATTGATTGTAATATTGATGAAGTCTGTTCATTATCAATACGTCGCTTTTATTTAATTCTGAAAAACACCACATTTCGAGTGAAGTTGTCTCGCCATTTTGACAGTCATCTGAGAAATCTTGATCCCCATCGCTGCAATATGAAAAACAATAGCTGGATTGGGTTCAGTGACCCGGAAAACATATGATTGAGAAAATCATGTCATCGACTTGAATACCGAATCCCTATTTTAAAAAAACAAGTGAGATTCCTTGGATCTTTTTTTCTAGAAAGTCTACTAGGCATGTAAATGAAACTAAATTTTTTCCCCAGCTCTCAGCTCATCTATCAGGCTAAAAGTAAAGGGTGTGTAATGATGAGACATTATATAATGAATTTACTACCATTGAAAGTAAAATTCACATTAATTGCAGTTCAGTTTCAAAAGGTAAACGTTAATAAACAATAAACTCTATAGAGAAATACAGTTTTACACATATATACATAACATATATTCATAATACTGATGTTGACAGAAACCAGATGACATTAACACACACAAGAAGTCAATCTTCAGGTGCGTGTCGACTTGAGATGTATCATTTTGTAAATATGCTATAAAATCAGATCATCTCGGCATTTTAACCGTCGAATATGCAATGAATATGTTGGATAATTTAAACTAGCGTCACAAAAAAACTTTTCCATTATTTTGGACCTCGTGTTGTTGCCTTGTGTTTTCATAGTCTTGATTCATCCATTTCAATAATGAAAGATGAGTCCACTGGCGTAAGAGTCATCTACTGGACTAAATTTACCGCAAGACATACATGATATTAATAACCCATTACACTAAAATGTAAGATTGTTCTACGTCAACCTTTCTTGTGATAAGAAGCAAAATGTTTCATCCGATCTGACGAATAGACACCTATGCCATCTGTACTCATGGTCATTGCCCTCGACTTGCTGATGAATTTATGTATGCTTATGTGAATTGATGAGATCTGACAAGTTTGCAGTTGAGAATATTTCAATTAATTACGTCTTATGCTGTCACGATAGAAGTCCGCCTTGGTATAGATTTATGAATTAACAATGTGAACAATGTGATAATATAACTGCCTGTTTGTTATGTTCAAATTTCTATAAATGCTTTTACTTTGACTTTCCAATACATTCCATCTCTATTGTGTTATTTTCAGTGTTAATCATCGAAGATATTGTTTTCAGTAATGATCAAAATTTGATTTATGTAGAATAAATATTTTATTTTACTCTAGCAAGTTTCTTGTCCGGTAGATGCCACAATATATCTGCTGTGTAATATGTCTTGAAACCTTGCCCTTTCTATCGGTTTTTGTTATCGAACGGTAAATTTGGCTATGGTTGATTGACCTTAAAGTCCGATTGTCACTTACCAAGTTTTTGATAGTTACTGACTTTGCAAGTGGCTGCTTTTTCTGTTTTTTCACTGTCTAAACATTCACTCCGTGTAGAGTGTCTTAGCGGAAATATGAATTTAGTAGATATGCACGTAACATATTTGATTTTGCTCCTGACTATGAAAGCACCTGGCTACAGAAGATTTGTAAAGGTTACTGCAATAGAGGGTCATGTCACTATTTAATGTTTCATAAAATACATTTTTACTCTTTGATCTACTGCGACTTGAAACTTTTATGAGTGAAATGTGCAGAATATGTAACATGCTCTAAGATGACAATTTTTGGGATAGAAAAAGGAAAAAAATCGAGTAGTTTGATGAGACAATTACGATCATTTTCTGACAGACGTCTATACTTAAAATCTTATATAGGTTAACATGGTGTTTTATCATAATTTTAAAATCACGATGATATTCTATACTTTTATAGTGTGATTTATCTGACAGTTGATGATGTTGAACATTTTGTCGTTTTGTCACAAAAATGAAGAAGAAAAAATCATTCAACAATAATATTATACATTTATGTAATTTGTGTCTTTTCTCCTTTCTAATTCGGGTGTTGTGCAGTTGAGATGATTCGTAATTGAATTTGAGGAGTAATTATTTAAGTAAGTTTTAACCTTTTCTTAATCTAACACATGGGACACGGTGAAAGTTTATTCTTTGCTACATAGGTACGACGCAGTAGAATTAACCGTTAAGCGGTTATTGATTAAAAAATGAAATGAATGGAGTTTTACGTCTAACTTTTCTGTACCATGTGGGCTAATGAAGACGGGCAACGCCCGAGGTACAATTTGCCAGGACAGCTGCATTAACCTGCTTTTTTTCGATTTCCAAATGTTCCAACACGGGACCACGGTTTATTGTCCCATCAGAACGACTTGAAGCTTTTTCCATGTCAGGCTCTTACCTGCATCCCTGGCAGGAAGCAACCGGGTTGAAAATCCGAAGGTATTATCTTGACCAATGCCAGGATTGAACCCTGGACCTTCAGGTTAGCGAGAAAGTATTTTACTTTTTTTGAGCCATTTATTAAGGTGACAAAAATGAAATGGAGTTTTACGTCCTACTATTCTGCACCATATGAACGATAGGACAAAAAGAAAGAAGACTACAAGTCAATGAAAACATGTACTTCAGAATTCGGGGATATTCTTGGAAGATCTGTTATTAGGTGAAATGAAAAATGTTAAGCATGATAGGAATCTGTAATGATGAACGGTAACCCATTATCATCAATTCTAAATTCAGTTTGTTTATTTTAATTTTTATAGAAGATCAATTTCATTAAAAAAAAGTTCACGAAAGAATTGTATTTAATTTCCATTTTCTCTACGAACTCAATAATAATCCTATTTCAAAAAGGTTCTTGAAATAATTGCTTCACGAGCTAAATTTCATCTTTCCATGTATGTTTAAATGAAGTGTTCGTTTCTTCTGTGATTTAACAAAAACGTTCTACAAGTTCAGATCACACTTTCATCGGGCTATTGAAGACAGCAGACATTACCATACAGCATCAAACGAGGACAATGCAAATGAGGAAAATGCTATGCCTTTATCGATTGTACACTTGGCTTCAGTTTATAGATGAGTTTTCAATATAGGTCTTTATAACTATCAGAGAGGGCGCCTTGAAAAGAATCCAGTTGATCCTGATCCAACTACCTAGACGTTAACTTGTCATCTACCATCTAACCCATCTTTCATTCTGTTCCATACCGACCCCCATTAATAAACAAAAGAGGAAACGACATGTCGAAATCTTTACTGTAAGATGTATGCCATATATCATGCTTTATATGATGTAAAATGTCTTAAAAGTGGGTTATATTTCACTGATCAAAATTAATTGCATTGAAACATGTTTGTTTTTAAATGTATTACATTTTATTGCAGCTTGTTTGACTCTTTTATTTGAGTTTTTTTTTAAGTTTAATATTATAGTCGACATTTATCACGAATAAAAAAACGTACTGACTTAATCTACATCAAGTGTCGTCAACTCATTCAGAATACAAACATTAGATTAGCTTTATCAGAAAATATTCCATCTTTCTAGGCATTTGCATGGATGTCAAGAGATCGGCTAAAAAGATTGTTTACAAAGGGATGCACATTTTTTTTCATTTTCAAAGACAATGAATATATACTTTTCATACATCCAAGAGAGCTGTGTAATATGTTTTACATGAAAGATACGCCAGTTTTCTTGACACGAAAGTGCGAACAATAAAGTATTTTCAGTCATTCAGTGGTTCCACCACACAGAATTAGTTTGCATCCCCTGTACAAAGTAATTCAGGATTCCTCACAAGGTGCAAAACAAACAGAAACTGATAGGAAATACCGGGTGATATTATCTTATGTGAATTGACGAAAATCCGGGAGTGTCCGACTTAAATCTGTTGAAGAAATTTTTTAACAACGTCCACAGCAGAACATGCCGTTGTGGTATATCTGCCGAGTATAATTTTTTTTCTTCGAATACTCCCTCCCTACAGCTTGAACTTTTGGTAGGCCTATGGTTCCAAGGCAATTGTTAAGAAATTTGGACATTACGTGCTCTGAAGGATACCGTCTCTTACTTTGATAAATATGTTCTTTTTTATATTCGATATTGTGAGTTGATTGATTCGAAAAAAGTTTCTTCAATACATGGAAACATAGGCAACCAAGAATTGAGAAATGCGTTAGAGGCAATAAATGGTAGCCCTGTATGCTTCAGTGTACTGACTTAAGAAACACAACCCTTGGATGGAACTGTAATTTTAACTCTCAATAGGCTGGTTAAATAATATACCTGTACTTGAGTAAAGCATATAGTCAGGTTCTACACTTTCTATTTTAGATTTTTTTTATTGATGAATGGCTGAAAGAATGGGTCAGAAAGATAAATTTGGTGGCCTCAAATTTCAGTATAATTCATCGCCTCCTGGAGAAGCAGAAGAAATAATGAATGCAGTATTGTCTGGTTTAGTAAAAACTGAGCATAGTCATCATCACCATCATCATACAGTACCGCATAGCAGCGAGAGAGGTTTGAATCACTTACTTAATCCTATCAACACCGTCCTGCACATCATTTTCGTCCTAAGCACTCACTTTCCCAGTGCCAGCAAACCCATCAAACACAACAAAGAATTTGCTATAAACTTTGGATTGAAATGAATGATTTTGCTTTGAGCTTAGTGACCTTACAAGCAGGGAGAGTTAACAAAATCGACATACCATTCGTTTTTCACCACGTCTTGACAGAGGCGTTGACTGTGTCAAACGTATTACTAATTGCAAGCTAACTTTTACCATGAATAATTCCGCAAACGATCTCTTTGAATTAAACGATTTTTCAATCGACGGTTTTTGAGTTTCCATTAAATTAAAATGGAATTTGGTGTAATCATATATAATGATGAAATCTTGGACACTTCGAATATAGGGATTTTTTGATGAACGGGTGAAAGGATGAGTTGTTCCTTGACTCTGTCAAAAACGCATAAAATTTTGTGTGATCATATTTATTTGATATATTGGAAAAGTTTGCATTTTACCGGAAGTTTTAACTGTCAATATGTTCTGCGCTCAATAAAGTCCATTTTTCATTTGATTTGAAACTTTGTGTGATCATTGGAATTGATATAATAATAAGGTCTTGAGTTGATTACTTTTCTGGGTATTGAATAGAAGCGGGACAGATTAATCATTATGGTTCATGTCGCTCTTTATTGAATCTAAAAGTTTTAACAAGGCTGCTGTGTGGAGATATGTTTACCTTGCCTGGCAAGCTATCTTTGAATATATTTGTGAATTAAAATATTGTTTACGAAATAAAATTATTGAATTAAAATTTACTGCGAATATAGTTTTGAAGGAAAATCAATCAGAGGCATTTTCGTTTACTGCATTATTTTTCTACTGAATTAGCATTTCTTTTACTATTTATTTCTAAATTTTTGTTGAATGAATTATATGGTTTAAGTTTTTGTTTATGGAAGAGTGTAAAACGGAAACAAAATTTTGAAATAACAAAAATTAAATTGTAATTCAGCAAACAAAAAATAGAAAATAAAAAGCAAAAGATAAAAATAGATAACCTTTACGCACAAATACATAATATAGCTTAAATTGATAGTTGATATTAAGTCATAATTTATCTACAGTTGACAATTACTATATCTGTTATAGTAGCTTATTTTCGGAACATTGTTAAATAAGAGATCACTTGAAAACGTGTTGGAATTTTGTTCGAAAAATATAATCTCATATATATTTCAGTTTCTTTCGTCGCTATTTTCATTGTCAAATTTGTGTTTTTGATTTAAAGTTTTTCAAAACTTGAAATTTTCCCCGTGAAACATTTTCTTGAGAAAAGATGTATGTCTCGAATTCCCTTGCGGAAGAAATTGTTAAGTTTCATATCTCGTAAAATTGATATCTAATTTATAAGTAACACTTACTGCATAGTATAACATTTTTTTTCAGTTCCTTGTTCAACTACTACAATGATGGACGTTTCACATAATTACGTACACCAATCATCTAGATATCCCCCTTATTCACCTTATCAAGCACAATATTATTACCCGCAGTCCCAATCAGTCTCACCAACATATTACCCTCAACATCCGCCATTTTCCAGCAATTATCAATCCACTTTATCATCACATACACTTCCATCAATACCATCAACTGTTTACCAGGTCCAAGGAGGTAAGGAATTCATGCTCACTTATTTTCTTCAAAATGAAGAACAAAATAGGTGTTCTATTGATTCTTATTACTTCTCGCCATTCCAGTTTTCGATATCATTTGGTCAAGAACTTACATGTAAATGCAACGGTGGAATAAGTCCGTTTTTATAATTTATTTTGTTAAATCTAAATCTTTTGTACTGACAAAGAGACTACTCTTTGAAAGATAACTAAATATGCATATAGGTTCTATCCTTTTCTCAATTTCGTAGTCTTCTGTTTACTGTTTCTTTGAACGATTTTCACAAAAGTGTGGGATTATCTAACGTTTTATGCAATATACACTGAGTAATCCGACATACACTGGGGCCGAAAAACAATGCCGGTTTAGCAAGAGTGTCGTCGCAGTACTCAAAGTTTTGACATTTTTTAACATGTGCCAAATGTTACTATTAATATAGCTCAGGGACCCAGATTTTACAGACGGTACCTTTCTAATAATAAGACAATAATAACAGAAAATTCAGGTGTTTATATGTTATTATTATCTAATAGTTCACATTTTGAGCTACCGGACATACCCCTTTTATTGGAATTAATATTGTCGGTTAATTTTTAAAAAAAGAATATTCTTTACTTTTTAAAATGAATTAATGTTGTATACATATCGTATAATATATATTAAACATAATATATCGATTTCGGGTCGGGTTACGCTATCTTTAAAACTCAGTCTGATGACAGAAACCAATTGCATGTTACACTTTTAGGATAATAAGCTCGCCTTTCAAGCTATGGTCTGTTTTGTAGGGTCACCTCCAGATATAGACGGAATCAGCGATGAACAGCTTGATAAAACTCTCAAAGATCTCGGACTGTTGGAACCTAGCAGACCAAAGGTAGCTGGTACCACACCACCGTCTCATATCAACGTTCACCACCAACGACATCATTTACAGCCGTCCTCTTCATGTCCATCTCATAGCATGTGCAAAGGTTGGTCTCATTTCAATTATTTTTTTTCAGCGTCAACGCAACTAATTTCTTCGCTGTAACAATAGCCAGTGTCCATTACAGCTTTGCCACCAAATCGGGAGTTATCGGTATATTTTTGGCATATTTCAACAAAAGACGTACTGGCATGCCACATCTCTTGCGGATGTAGTACGCAACATAAAAGCCTGTACATGGCAGAACATTGCTCCGGGCTTGATGTGCTAAACTCTGAATCATGTTCAATCCGAGCAGTTGATTTCAATAACTAAGATAATTTTCATTCCAAAAGTAATAAACTTCTTACCCTAAATAATCAAACCAAAATCGATAGAAACTTTAGCTTTTATTATGCGCACAAACAGAAGAATTTCAAATAGGTGAAGGACAGCAACGGTTTATTTAGAAAACATCTGACTTAACTACTTAAGAGCAATAACCAAGAGCTGTTATTCATTCGATAAAACATCAAATTTAAACTCATTCACAATCTTACGTATCTCAAGGCTCAATCCAAATTATCAAATTCAATTAACCAGTGGCTGTCTACCCAGAGGCTGCTAAGAAGATATTGTTGATTTAAAGGCATGTCATCTCTTAAAATGACGAAAAAATTGAAATTTTTAAACTTGGCCAAAATGAGTCTTTGTTCATCAGTGGACTTACCTGGTATATGATAAAATCGCCCTATAATCTAATAAATCCATAAACTAATTAATATCTACCTGCTTAAAAGCGTTTTTCAAAAATTACTTAGTTTAATGGGTGTACCGTGTTATATACAGATTCTATTCTTTAGTAATTGGCACCAGGTAACTAATGAATACTTACTTTTATTGGCCAAAGTTGAGATTCAAATTTTATGTCAATTTTAAGAGATATTACTCCTTTAAACAAACAAAAATCGTCAAATTCGAAGATCCAAGATCTCAATAATATAAATAATCACACAAAATTTAATTAACATCAGATAAAAAGTCTCTGTTTAATTTTTATCAATTTCATTAATCATAGCGAATCGGTAAAATGTCTTGTTCGAAGAAAAAAATTTAACGCGAGAGTGGCAATAACTCCAAAACTATTCTTGTGTAAGATTTCGTCGTGTAACTTTCATCAAAATCGATTGAAAATTCGGTTTCTATTGTATCACCAAAGGACTTTTACGTATTTTCATTGAATAAGGTTATTACCTCTCCAAAAATTGTTGATAGAAAAGTTGTTTGATTCGAATCTATCGAAAATATCAATTTCACTAATAACACCCATTTTCATCAAAATTGATTGATCTGTGAGTGTAAACTTCCGAATTCGGAACCCTCCAAATGTTCCGAATTGGGTCAGAAAAAATACCTACGAATCTAAATTTCAATTCCGCCAAAACAACGAAATAATATTTTTTAAAGTAAATTTTGTTTTCGTGTATATTTTAGTAAGCTTAATCATTATAATTTTGATGATCAATTGATAGAATTTAATTAATAATTAGTATATTATCAACATGAACATTAAACAGAGTCATCGATACCCAAATCTTATTTGCTTGGCTTGAGATTGAGTAGGAGGAAATCTATATTTCCGAAAACGGGGAATCTTACGACACCTAATGACCAAGAATGGGGGTAACAAGCCGTGAAGACACATAATCTGTTCTCTTATGAAATGGGTTTTAGAGTCTGTATAAAATGTTAGTTATTATTGTTTTTCTTGAACAGATAATTTGCCTTATGTTAATAATCAACTTGATTATTCCAACTTAACACCCCCATATGGTCGCAGGGAATGAATAGGTTGAACAATTTTCTCCTTAATATTTAGCAAAGTCGACTGACATAAAAGATTAGAGAAACCTTACGGACTAACCCAAATCGTGCAATAAATGACCATTAACTGACAGACTGGAAGCTGTAAAACTGATTGAACCAGACTGGAATTTATGATTTTAAGAAACGGTATTGCTCTCATATCCATGGGCAAGCTGATTGTTAGTTTTCGGGGAAGGGGGGGTTTGATTCTCCCAAATGTACAGGCCTAGGGTGGAGCAGACACTATGTATATTATCTGTTATGTACTGATTGTTTTTAGTTTACTATGAACAATATTATCATTTAAGTTCTTATTTTTTGAATATGCAACTATCATTTTCTGCTTATAGACATGGGGGAATTTCTCTTGAAGGCTCTTATAATGGGCATGAACTATCTTGCTTGCTCGATTGCTGATTGTATTAAACGGGACAACAAAGGGTGCTATGCCTACATTATGATGAATATTTAGTCCTATAGGTCTTGCTGTATTCAATGTCTGAATCCAATGGGCTTCCCTAGATTGACGGAATTTGGTAGTTTCATCTTCGGGCAAGTCTATTTCTATACGCTCAATTGGGATTAGAGTGAGATCGTCTATTGAATGGTCGTCGAGGTTGAAATGATTAGAAACAGGCTTGTCTTTCTTTAATTTGATGTCTGACATGAGTTAACGAGTTCGTAAATTATTCTTAGTTTCTCCTACATATTGTTTCGGGCATTTCTTGCATGAAATTAAATATATTACATTCGAATGTTCACATGTTAGATGTTCCTGGATCGGGTACCTTTTATTCGTAGAGTTGCTTACAAAATAATGAGTTTCTGATGAAATTTGATCATATATTTGTGGCTAGCCTTTGGCGCAACTTTTGTCTCGATTCTTAGATCTTTTCTGACTCAATGCGGAAAGTTCGCGAATTCGAAATTTACATCCACCGTCGATTGATGCTTCAATTGTGTTCACGAACAAATTTGTCCTGTTTTAACTGCGCAAAGGTTAGTTACTACCCCGGAGATAGTACCATTGGATTATGATGAAACACCTCAAAGTTCTTAAAAGAAGGCTCAAAAGTGCTATCGAGCACAAAACCACTCATGCTCTAACAAGTTACCTCCCTTGAGGTTTAACGTTCATTTCGTCTTTTGGTTATATACTCCAGGTTATAATGAATATTTGACATAACCTTTCTTCATTTCTATATGATTTAAATTCTATGATTATAAATAAGTTGCCCTAGAATCATGAAAATTAAATGTACCTAGCTCACTTAGTTGGAATTAAGCCTCCCCGGCGCCTTTTTTCTGGAAACCTGGCGCGTATGCCAGACTTATCTGCTTTGTCGAATATTGAAAGCACAGTAGCAAGTCATGAAACTTGACCTGACTAAACTTCACTTGATATGTATTTTCACAAGTTGTTACGAACTTCGACTTATACCTTGCCTGAAATATCCACCGTTCTTGTATCACAGAATACAGGCCCTTTATTGGCGGTATCCGCTACCGTACAAACCAATGAAATCGTTTCATTTACACACTTGTGTGAAACAAGAAAGGTGAATATTCTAGTCACGGTAAAACACTTATTTCGTAATAGCTTGACACTATGACATGTAGCACTCAGCAGACCTGGTTTCCGTTGCAGACTGCTAGCTAGACTTTCATGGTGGGCCGGTTAGGTATGGAGGTAGGTTGCAAACAACACTGTTTTCATAAGCAGGGAAACCTTTCGTTTACTGATAATCTGGGGGAAAATCCATGCCAAGAGGAATAGCCAAGTACCGGCTAGAAGAAAGGATTCACATGTTAACCTCGTACCAGAAATCATCCACAATCTCTAAACACGAGAGAAAATCCAGAGTATCGACAAAGATCGGTCAAAACTGTAGTCTATATCATATTCACAAACAACTAGTATGGAATATTCTACCTTTATACTGTATAATACTACCAATTTTAGTCAAAATCTGTTAAGAATTGTACCTTCCTTAGTGTTTACATGCTAAAATTAGAACGCGTTTTTAAGAACAAGGGCAATAACTCAAACTAAATATTTTTTCGATTCTTCTGATTTTCATTTCTGTCTCTGGCCAATTCTTAGTATCTTGTCAACAATTTAACATGTACAGTTATGGGAAGGAACACATACGTCATTGAGAAATTGTAATTGTAATTTTTTCATTGGAGCAGGTATTGGGTAATGGGTGAAAGTTAATTAAATATGAACTTATCGACTTAAGTTTGTTATGAACAAGGGTGTCATTAAAGTTTTGGTTTATCTAATATGCGAATATCACCCAGGGCCGTCCGTAACTACATCAAGGCAAATGCCTCGGGCAAAATTTGACCAAAAAGGTTGCTCCTGGATCAGGTACCTATTAGTTATACACAAGCAAAATCGACTGCATTAAAGAAACATTTTTGTGGGTGCAGTGGTTGGGCGGCAAACAGGAGTTACGTCCCATTAATATTGAGTATTTCAACAGAAACTTCATTTGGATGTATCCTACATACATCTATATTTACAAAGGCTTATGTAAGTCAATTAAAATACAAAATGGAAGAAAGTTAATTGACCACAGAAAATGTAACTGACAGTTTCTGTTCAATTGGATCAGGATTTTCAGTATTTCTTTTTCCTTTCAGTCGATAATGTAATTTGGCCAAGTTTATTTTGATTAAAAGGGAAGAAATTGCGTTACACACATATCCACACTGTTCAGGAACAAATCACCATTCATTTAATAGATAGTGAAGAATTGATTATGGACCTTGTTTATGCCAAAGCGTTGTATTTTTTAGTATATGTTTATACAAAATGTCATACTCAAACGAACAGTTTTTCTACAATGCATTTGCAGTTAATGGTTGTAATTGTATGCATTGACATGAGCTATATCGATATTTAATTATTAGACAAAGTAATGCGATCATTGTACATGTTGGCACAGTGACTTAGCTATTGCAAGGTTATTTATTGAATAATGTGTACTATCACGCAATTGACTCACGATTAATTGATATCGGTGCAAACAATCCTAGCACTGCTTTCTCTGTTCGTCCATTACAAACAATGTTTTCAAGAATACTAATAACATCATCTTATTATTTACATGCATATTTGTGCTGGTATGTGCTGTCTAGATTGTGTAAATAACACACAATTATAAATGAAAACGCTACTGGGAAATTAACATGCTATGCGTACACATCAATTGAAAGTTTTTTCGAGATGAACTTGATAGGAAGACGACATATAACTTATTCGCACCTAATTCGTGACGTCAGGGTTTTTTGCATTACTTTAACGAGTAAACAGTGATTTCGTTAGCAGCAATAATATAAGAAATTTTATATTATGCAATTGAGCCACCATAACATCCGAGACCCTTAAGATGTGCAATGACAACAATTCTAAGTAAAAACTATTTCACGATAATATGTGAATATAAAACGTGACGATATTGAAGTACTTTATGATATGAGTGTTGGTATCATACTTAGGTGAACTATTATTAGATCGTCAAAATGAAACGGGGGAAAATAGGGAAATACCCTAGTATTTTGTAAAGAGAACACATGTGTCAAGAGAAATAATATCACTTGTGAATAGTTATTATTTTTAACTGGATGAAAACGTCAATGTCAACCATTGTGACTGTGTGACTATAATTTGTTAAAGCTTAAGTTTAAGATGATGCAATGCGTTTTGGATGATTTGAAAAGCGCTCACATAAAAGGTCAATTTTAATGAATAATATAGATTCTGTGAGTCGAAAATCCCTCGCGATGCAAGTTAGGTAGAACTGTCACAAAAATACATTTTAGTTAGCCGATCAAGCATTTTACCAATAGAAGCATAGCTTGAAGGTACTCACACACAACAATGTTTCCTTTTTGTCATCAAAATATATTGATATTGATAAGCACTTTTTTTTGTTGCCAAGTCCTCAAAGCCGCGATGGCTTAGTCGCTAAACCGAAGGTCCCGGGTTCAATCCCGGCATAGGTCGAGATTTTTTCAACCCGGTTTTCCCGTCAGAGATACTGGTCGGAGGGGCTGACATGAAAAAAGCGTCTAGTCGTTCGGATGGGACAATACACCTAGGCTCCGTGTGCTACAGGCTGAGCACGTTAAAGATCCCTCGACAGTTGGAAATCGAAACGGAGTAGGCTATCGCCTCAGTCCTGGAAAATTTTCCCACACACTGCAAAGGGGGGGGGTCTTCATTAGCCCAATTACGTTCAAAAAAGTAGGGCGTAAAACTCTATTATTTCAATTGATTTTGAATAGCTGGCAAAGATCTTCATAAATAATGTGTCTCTTTAGTGAAAAAATTGGAGCAGTTTTTGCTGCTTATTTGATTGGGTGTATGTTAAGCATTTACAAATTTGCAGCAATAGTTTCTTAATTTTTCAGAAACACAAGGTCAACCAAGGCTATACAGGTTCATTATGACTTTATTAGAAAGTTCTGAAACTAATCCATCTCTTATTGAATGGGTAGATAGATCAAAAGGAATGTTTGCTTTAGTTGATCCAAATGAGATAGCCCGCCGATGGGGAATATGCAAAAACAATTCTTGTATGAATTATGAAAAGATGAGTCGCGGATTTAGGTAGGTTAAATCATTCACTATAAAGGGCACATTTATAGCTATCTACATGTTATGCAGTAAACCAATTTATATTTTAAGCTTCTCTGAAATATGCATAGTTGAGTTGTCGTGTTAATTTAATATATTCATTATTACATGTACAAATAAATTTAATGTATTTGAAAACAAGAGTCAAGGATATACACGTCTCGACAGAAAAAATTTCTCATTGCTATTTTATATGAATCATACAAATATAAATAGTATAAAATTTATTTTAAAATTTATTTTTCATAGATATTACTACAAAGTTGGTATACTTGAAAGAGTTCCTGGAAAAAAGTTAGTATATAAGTTTTCAGCTCGAGCCCCTATATGGAA